ATGAAACTAAATATGACTCGATCCTACCCATTTACCAGGATAAAATCCCTGTTACTGACTAGAATTTTAACGAGAAAAATTAAATCAATATAGCGGTTGAGAGCGGCTAAATACACTTACTCATCGGATTGCATAAAGGTTTGACAGATCAAAACACGTGGAAGGTAAGGGCATTTATCGTCAAAGAATTGATATTGATTTTTAAATTTAAATAAAAAATATGCTGAATGTAAGTTGGTGTTTTTCTGAAATATAATTCACTATCGTATAACATATCAAACATGCATTGGGTATGGGAATCACACTTGAATTTAACTTAATTGGAACTTAGGTAAATAATAAACGGATTTATTTCACTATTAAAAAAGAGCTAAACAACAAAGTTATTTCCTTCAAACATACTGTGTGTATATGTTAGCCATTTGTTATGTATATGTTAGCCATTTGTTATGTATATGTTAGCCATTTGTTATGGCCATAAAGACAAAATTACAAAGTATGATGATAAATGATAAATTCAAAAATCATGAAACAACAACCAAAGACAATTAAAAGCATTGGACAGGGATGGATAAATTATTTTGATTTGACCCGTTTTACTTGTAATACTCTTTGGGGGGAGGTGAACGAGTTTAAGCGGCACTTCAGGAGCTATCATGGACAGGCACGTGCCCAGTATGCCTCCCCCCCCCCAGGATACGCCATGGTGATACACATTTTGGTCTTAAAATTTAAAGGTTCACGTAACACCGGTGATGAGGGACTTTTGGGATCATGAACGCCATGACGTATAGGTCTGTAAACAGTTCCTGTTAAGTGAAGGAAATAAGTAAATTATTGTAGTTTTGGCTCTTTTATACATATACATGAAAATTGTGGGTCGGCCCAGTGAAACAAGAAATTGAAAAACAAATTTGACCTCATCGACATCTTCCGAATGATTTAAAGGATAATGTGACTCAGACCTTGCTGTATTATATGTAAAGCTCTCCAAGCATAAAGCGTACATCGGGTATCTTTCAATAATAATGATAAAAACAGCCGAAGCAATAAGCTATTAGAGTAAACATATTGGTTGATAAACTCCAATCCTGAAAACAAGTGCCTGCTAATTGCTTTGGATTTTTCACGTCTGTGGGGAGCTGGAAATTTATGACACCAAATACTCAGGCAGTTAGTATATCTATTGAGAGATGTAATCAGTTTTAAGAACAGTAAAACTTCGCCTTAATGGCTGGGATCAGAGACGCGTGGAATGACTCTTTTCTTTTGAGGGGGGGGGGGGGGGTTACATGCAAACTTCATCATAGGGAACAAAATCCAGAGTGGAAGGCGTCATAGCACATAAATTCATACTCTACCCATACTCTACCAGTAGCACGAGATGTGAAGTGATATATTTATAAAGCTAAAATAACAATTGCCTTCTGTAATGTTGGTCTCGGAAGGATATACGGTGACGCTGCTGGCAACATGGAGACCGAACATAAACAAGGCATTCTCAAGGACAAAAGAGTGGAACACATCTTTGACGTTGTAAGTGGGGTCGTTGCTGCAGTGTTGCTTTTGCTTGAAATTATCAATCGTAATCAGTTCTCATCCCATTCCAGTAATTTACTGATAATATGATACTTGTATGTATTGGGATACGATGTTTTGCCGTTTTCCGAATTCGTCCAGTGTGTCTTACTATGACAGAAATAAGTGTGTTATGTTTAATTATTTTTATTATGGTCTTCTGTTTCTGCGTGACTCAGTAGCGAAATATGTTAAGACAATATCTGATTTTTATCCCACAAAATACCAAGAAAATACTTACCAAATAAGGTAAGTAAATTCATTAATATAACTGCACTTGTAATTAGTCCTTTAAACTGGAAAAATTAAGAAAACTTTTGAAAGAAAAATTTTGAAAAAAAAAAAAAAAAACAGTTATAAAATTAAGTTTTTGTATAAGGTTTTCGTTCAGTCCTATGGCAACTCGCTGCCTTGTTAGTCGATCATTCAAGACTGTGATTGTGTGCCAGCTATAAATTTAACATAATATATAAATCACTCAAAATAGTTGTTATTTAATCATCTAATGTGCTGAGTAATACAAATTAATATTTCATTTTGTCAGTGATTTCAAGTGTGTGAAAAACTTAATTTTCCATACTTATTTGGTCAATTTGCCATGTCATTTTAAATTGGCATATATCGTCAACCATATTTTCAGCGTACTCGAGTCATCCTTTTACAACTATTTACCATCCAAGTAATACTCAATCAATTTACGTAATTGAAAAGGGGCAAATGTTTGCAATCCAAGTAATACTCAATCAATTTACTTAATTGAACAATGACAAATGTGCAACTCACATAAAATTATCAATCATAATGAATTTTAACTCTTTCTAATAAATAATTAATAAAGTAAGACTTGTATATTTTAAGATGTATTTCGATGGTTTGTCATTTTTCGGGTGTGCCTCGTCATGGCAGTATCGCGTGTGAGACTCTTGATTTGTTTATTAATTTGTATTATGGTTATTGCTTGGCGTGATTTACAGGCAACAAAAGGTGCCACCGTCGTTGATTATTTCCACAAAATACCAGGAAAACATTTACCAAATAAGGCTTTCAAAACAAAAGAGCAACGGAATGGAATAAGTAAAATACAATGTGCTATGAAATGCCAGAAAAACACACAGTGTGTGTCTTTCAACATAAGATCTGACAACGCCATGTGTGAACTGAATTCAGCCGCAGATTTCACCCCAGCCAAGTTGAACCTTCTTGATAATAATGCAAGTCAGCACTACATGAAGGTAATTATTTACTAGTGTGTGGTTTTTGTCTTTTTCTAAAGTAAATTCCTTATTATAAAGCATGCTTGGGTTGACTGTTACGTGGCAGATATTACTTCGGATCATTAATGGGCGGGGGCTAACTGATTTATTTTAATATTAAAATACGATCCAATCACAGCCAACGGCGTGATATGACTCTCTCGATATACCTGTGAACGCAGCCAGTTTGCATGGCGCTAAAACACAGTGCTCATATCAAAAACTTTTATAACTGACTTGCGTGGTTTGTGAACATTTGAGCGCTTGTAGCGAAGGCTAAAAGTTGCGTTTTAGAGCAGCGATTTTTCAAACAGTGATTTTGTACCGATTTATGCTTTATGTTACATTACACTTTACGAAAAGACGAACCCTAAAATCGTACCATACGTCTGGGGGTTAATCCACTTCAGTGCGCATTTTATTTGCCGTTTTAGCCTTTTTGGTTGAATGTTCGTGTGTGATAAAATGTAATACAGAAATTATATCTGATAATCCTCTTAAAATATTGAATTTAATTAACTACATCTTTATTACAACTGAAAAATGTATAATTTGAAAGTATGAAAATGTAAATGAAAATGTATCCTAACCGAACATCCGCAGACCCCCTCCCTTTAAATAATCCTGGATTCGCCCCTGGTTATAAACAATACATTATCACTTCTTTCACAACGCGGGTTTCAATAATTGTAGTCCTCGACTTATGTGTCCATATGCCCACTACGAGTTTTCATAAGTATCGGAATGAAAAAAAAAGAAAGAAAGAAACCACAAACAATTGTCTGTCTTCATAATGTTCATTATGTGTTCATATGCCCACTACGAGTTTTCATAAGTATGGGAATAAAAAAAAAAAAAGAAAGAAAGAAAGAAAACACAAACAGATGTCTGTCTTCATAATGCTCATGTTTCTTTTCAGGTTGCACGTGACTGCGCTGATTACAGTAAGTTTTGTTGATAAGTGATGTATAAAAAATGTGTAAATCTCTCACCACTGCTTATACATTTAATATTATCCTCTTAGAAAAGGACTTAAAAGTCGTTTACATATTTTTGCGATTTTCACATTTTTCATTTTAGCAAGGAAAATATATTTTCATGTACTCGCTCAAAGATGCCAAAAATGATGTTATTTACTTTATATTTTGATCTAATTGATGCTTTATTTTCCATTGTTTTGCAACTATATTTTGCAACCAAATACCTGAAAACCCATCATCAAAATTCTGCCATTTCCGTATATATTATGTCAGCTGTCAAAATGTTCGTTCGATGGAAATTAAACAAGAAATGTATCTTAACCAAATGCATTTTGGTGTTGCTCTGTTTTGATATGCTGGTAACGATAATTTGTCATGACAAGACAATAACTCATGTCGTGCATTCATTCACACACATCCAGACATATTTATGAATATGCTCTGCAGGACCATTTGTTAAACGTTAATCATAGCTATGTTGAAATAAATGTTTAGAATGTATTTCTAATCGTCTCTTTTGATTTATTCCCTCCCATGAAATTAATCCTTGTTTATCAGGCATGACTTAGGGGTAATAAATTGCTTACACTTCTTGCCCATTTGTGACAAAATAATAATAATAATTATCCAAAATATCAAAATTCCCTGAATATCTTTTCAGATGGAATAGATGGCGTACATAACATTTATATCAGTTCCATGAACAGACAACTTCGTGTTTCCTGTGAGAATGGGTGGACGGTTCTAATGCGCAGAACAGGGCCCGAGTTAAACTTTAACAGGTATGTTGTAAACAAAGAACAAATTGCTCAACAGTAAGACGGAATAACCAAAACCTTTAACCCGGTTTTATTAGCAGTAGACGATCAAAGTGAAGTGTATTTTTATGTCCTTTCTTCTTTGTCTTTTAATGTGAAATAGTCTCAGCTTATAACTACATAAAACAAAGATCCAAAGTGAAAAGATCCTGGATGAATTTCGAGAGAGGGGTAATATTATTTGGAATACACAATTACTGACTGAATCGTTTTTCACGAAGGTCGTGGGTCGAATACCGTGATGGGTTCGGTGACGTTGCTGGCGACCACTGGCTGGGACTGGAAGCGTTTCATCATCTCACCAACCAGGGAAACTACTCCTTAATGACAGCGGTTAGAGACGCGTTGACTGACTCTTATTTCTGGGATATTCATGCAAACTTCCTCATTGGAACGGGAGACGAGAAATACACTTTAAAGCTGAAATTAAATGGTGTTGGAAACTTATCTTCAAACAGCACAGTTGACCCCTGGAACAAGAACGTCAACATGAAATTCTCAACACATGACCAGAAAAATGACAACAAATTGACATTTAGCTGTGCTGCTACGAACGGGGGTGGTTGGTGGTTTAATAAGTGCAGCGAAATTTCGTTGACTTCATACCTGGCAACGGAATGTGTTCCGAATTGCTGGAAAGCGGCTAGACATGAGGGGATTCCCTTTGGAGTTCGCGGGTCCGCCGAGAAATTGGTTCGTTGGGCTGTGATGAAGATAAAGAGATCTGAGGACCTGTAGTGATCAAACAATTTATCCGTACCCACACTTTGCCGTAACTGTGCAACCACTGGTGCGTTATTTCTGAAAGATTTAAATTATCTTATCATGCTTATTCAGATTCGAAAAAATTGTCAGCAGTATCACAGCGACGATTTTTTGTTCATTTTAGTTGGAACATCCAGCAATGATTAATTACAGATCGTTTTCTTAGTCACAGTCCATTTTCAAAGCTTCAAAGTATAAGTTTAAAGCAATCATTAGTCAATTTCGATGATTGTCAGTTCATTTTGGCCACTTGAACGGGTCTGTTCCTTTGGTAACTATAATACTGAGATAATGAATCTATTTACTATTTACTCAAATCGTTTTTCGTTTTAATTCACATACTAATGTATTGAATGATGAATCTAAATATGACTCGATCCTACCCATTTACCAGGATAAAATTCCTGTTACTGACTAGAATTTTAACGAGAAAAATGAAATCAATATAGCGGTTGAGAGCGGCTAAATACACTTGCTCATCGGATTGCATCAAGGTTTGACAGACCAAAACACAACTTATAGGTCTGGAAACAGTTCCTATTAAGTAAAGGAAGTAGGTAAATAATTGTAGTTTTGACTCTGTTTATACCTAAACATGAAACTTGTGGGTCGGCCCCGTGAAACAAGAAATTGAAAAACAAATTTGACCTCATCGACATCTTCCAAATGATTTAAAGGTTAATCGGACTCAGACATCAGTTTTCCGTGCATAAACCGTACAGCGGGTATCTTTCAACAATGATGATAAAAACAGCCGAAGCAATATAACCATAAGCCATTAAAGTAAACATATCGGTTGATGAACTCGAATCCTCAAAACAAGTGCCTGCTAATTGCTTTGGATTTTTCACGTCTGTGGGGAGCTGGAAATTTATGGCACCAGATACGGTATATTTATTTCCTGGCCGTGTTCAATTGTCAGTTCTGTAAAGCCACATATTACTTCCCACCTGTCTCAACCTCTATACTTTGATCGAGTCTTTGAGGGATGGCAAAGATTATCGTAAAGGGATGACAACTGTTCGTTTTGGCCAAAAACTGAATTTTCCAAGGGTAAACGACGGTTTTCCCATACTTACCATTGGTTAATGAATTAATCCACTGCGACATTCAAAGCTAGTGCATTTTTTTCTTTTTCTAAAAAAGTTCATCGAGATTATCACGGAGATAAAGTCGTCTGTGAAACTCCACATGGTCCAATGGCAAGCACAGATTCCAGAAATATTGCAATAACCACTGATTTGGTGGTAAAACGGAATTTATAATATTGCTATGAGTTGTGTACAATGTATTTATGGTGGAATGTGAATCTCATAAGAAAAGTTGTTATCCCTTTAAATTATCTTAGAATATTTTTTGTAAGACACAGCTGTGGACCGAACTTCTGGCATCGTCACAGCCAATAGGTCAGGGACCACATACTGTGGCAACTTTATGGCTCGTCACAGGAATATATCGATCAAGAACACGTGATTGTAGCGTACTCCGTGCATTGCTGACTGACTAATACGTAATCAACTTTATTTTTGTTACATGAGGGAAATACATGGGGCAAGACACTGAAAAGTGCAAATTTCTGTTTTAAAGTCTAGAATATTGAAAAATGGCATATAAACAACGTACGCGGGACAGATGATTTATCAATCATTGTAATAATTTCACTTAGCAAGATCCTTATTTCTTAAATGTTGTCATTATTATACAAATACGAGCATTTTGAATTTTTCCTTTGTGATATACATATGTATAAATATAAGGATTTTCATCAATTATTGTTTTTTTTAAATAGTAACGCGAGTTTGAACAATTCTTCTCCTGTGTGATACAGAAAAATATGATAGAAACGAGTGTTAAAACGTTGTATATATATATATATATGTACATTGCAAAACATATTATAAATTATATGTTTTACCCATGCGGCTCTGGAAAACAATTGAGGTATTTTGGTATTCAAAGCTAGCAAGCAACAGGCCAACCGCCGTAATTGATAAAATAAACTTGTTTCCATCCACATCATTGCTGATGCTTTTTAAAGCTTGTTAAAACATGTGCACAGATCTACTTCAAATAGTATGAAATGAAAGAACACAGGCAAAATGTATCCCACTGAGCTTTTATTGTCATTCTGCTCCTAACACAGACTTCTTAGCCGACTTAAGTAAGACGAATTACCCTCTTTCTAATCGATAGATTTCCTGACGCACTGTATTACGGAAGCGTCTATATCACGCCAAAAACTCATGTTGTCTTGTGTTCGCCCTCACTCATATCTTGTCGTGTAGTCTTTCCTATTAAACTAGGCTCTTTGTTGTCAAAATTTATTCGTGAAGACATCGATCCGTATTTTGTAGGCTCCCAAGACTAAGTCGACAGTGGCCCATACACTTAGACTCGGCCCCAATACCATAAGTACTATTTACAGTCCGCGGCAAGATCAAACATTAATTTACTTCATCAATTAGGCCTTAAATTGGGTTTTGTAACTGTATCATTCCAGCCTTGTCTGATTGACCGTTTCCATGTGGATTCATTTCAAATGGCAATGTCATAGAGGATGATAGTACAAATACTTATGAAAGCTACAGTGTAGCCTCGATGGAGTCGCACAGATTTACTCATTTCCTGGTCTGCAGTGCCTATAAACTTCCAAATGTATGTAGGGGAAAGAGCTGTTTGTGGTCTTAGTTATTCCGTTGATATTGTTCTTAACATCAAAGAAAAATCTCCTTTGCGGTGAACATATTGACTGTAAGTTTAATCATGTTTTTTGTTCTTTCGTAGAAAAATATCGTGGTCCTGCCAAAACAAGATAAGAAAAAATGGCGGCCTCGTTCTTCCTTTGGTGAATGTAATAAGGGAGGGTTGGCAAACGAGAAAAACGAGTACGGAGTACAAAAAGCCTACAAATTTTGTAACTAGATCATAATTGGTCATAATGAGCTGAAAGCTATGACGTTCATGTAGTTTTCAATTCGTGCTTCGTAATTCGCATTTCATCCTTGGCAAAACCAACGTATTAATGCACGTTGGATAGGGGATGGGCCGGCCCCAGGCTAGAAACACACTCCTCGTTCTGCATTTGGCCCAAATGTCGCTACAAGGGAAATTTTCTAACAATAAAGAAAGAAATGAACCAAACATGCTCTCTATTGCTACATTGTACCGATGTTAACCCCATAGCGCCTGACAGCTTCTGACCTAGAAAGTGCCCTTGGTCCTGAGCCCTCTACACGGACGCACTCAATTTTACAGGCGGCCTCATTTAAGCAATGATAATGTATACACTTGTCTAGAAAACACCTAGGAACTGTACATTTTTAGAAAGCCAACAATGTAAGCTTTAAAGTCATATCAGTTTTATTCATATTTGTTAACTTAGGTAGAAATAGCAGGAGTTTAAATATGAGACTTGCTTTTCTCGAAGAAAAGTAAAAAATAAAACTTTAATTTCAGCATACACATTCTTTTTCACTTTACCAAACAATTTGTTGAAATTTTCTCAGAAACATTCGAAATATATTTTAAATAATGTCAGAAAATTTCAGAAAGATATCTTATTTAGTTTTTGAGTTATAATAAATTTCCTGGGATGCGTGCTGTACCTAAAAACCTTCATCACGTCAGCTAGTTGCACAATATACTGGCGGGCTAGCTGACTGGAAGACTTCCACCTAATTACGTTTATAATTACAAATAGATTGTAAATTAAGTGCCTTTTTCAATAGTTCTTCTATAGTTTTTTAATCAACTGAACCAGGATACTCATAAAATTTTGTTTTACACTCAAACTCATACATGTATACAAGAATACAAACAATATCATGAGCAAATATTACACTTTCGTGAATAAAAACTGCATCATAAAAATACAAGCAAACCTGGAATTTGTACTAATACACAAGCAGGAAAAGACATGTTGATACAGCGCACTAGTAAACATATTACATCTGTATTTATACTCAAGCAGGAAAAGCCATATGTAGATGCAGCACACAAGTAAACATACGTCATTTGTACTTATACATAAGCAGGAAAAGACATGTTGATGCAGTACAACGTAACATATGNCTATACATTTGACAGCTTTGCTGCCTTGTTTGAGTTTTATCTACAAAATGTATATGAACCAGTATCAACCATTCTTTGTTTTTAAGAAAATACAACACCAACCTTTGACAATGACAGCTTTTGTAGGTGTAACAGTATCAATGCTCCCCAGAGGAATGGACAGATTATGTGCAGCAACAGCATCTATTAACTTTTGAGCAACCTGAAATCAGGAAGTGAGAGTACACCTGCTGCTATAAATGAATAATTCAAACTAAAATTTTTATAAAAATACTGCAAGCATATAAATTGCTATAATGATTTTAAAAACATTTCAAAATATTTCAAAGATTAAATCATTTCTACCTGTGTGGCTGTTATCTTGTTTTTGTTCACTGTTGGTGGAAGTATCACAACATCTACTCTCAGTGGCTCCTTTAGTAGCATAGCAGCTTGAATCTCACCCACTTCTGTTCCCAATATCTGGAATTACATTATAAGTTTTTAGTTGATTTGGAGAGGGGACACCTCAATTTATGCTTTAAGTTAGAATAACATTATAAACAAGTGCAAATAAATCATTTAGTATGCAGGAATGTGAACAGTTTTTAATTAATTCTGCTTCATGAAAGTTCAAATGGTTTATTTTACTAAATATTATCTTAAAATTGAAAATGAGATGCTAATACCATAGCAATGAAAAACTTACCTTCTTTTCACTTATTTCTTTAACTACAGCCTTTTCAAAGCTTCTTCTGAAGATAATCCTGTTGATGAGAAGAGATGGTGGAACTTCCAGTGGTAGATTCTCAAACCAAAGCTGAACTACTACCAGTTCACCTGAAATAAGTTCATAAAATTGTCGCTACCAACACAATGTGTAAGGATATCATGACACGCTCATCACCATAGCACATTTTAAGACTGTAACATCTTGCACACTCAACACTGTCACAACTAACACATTCAACAAATGCCACCACTGTCAGTCTGCTACACTACTTGGTACAATCTTACACCTATCATAATTTTAACGCTATGCAGACCTGTTGCAATATTCATTGTTCTGAACATCAAACATTTAACAACATATAAGATCTCTATCAAATTATTAATGAAAATATGACTGCCAAATTTTGAAATTTCAATATAAAAGAAAAAAATCTCACCATACACTCTCACGGTCAGAGCCTTGTGATAGGAGCTGACAGCATTCACTGCAGTCACATGTACAGTGTAGTTGCCTGGCTCACTGCATTTGAAAGAGACAGTACCATTCCATGAGAGGGTTGGGGTTTCCTAGAAGAAACAAATGCATCTTCAATTCATTATCTAAACTTGGTAACTAAACACTACTTATAATGTTTTGCTTATAATTAGCTACACTGATAAAACTGCTTCTCCACACACTAAAAAATAAAACAGTACAGTCTGTCATAGATTTACTGAACTCAGTCTGTGCTCAATATTCTTATATCTTATTGTCTTCTAATACTGTGCAGGATGGACCAACCTGATGTGAAAACTGCCAAATGAAATGTGTTTGCTTCAAATCCTGTGTATTCCCATTATCAAGACCAAAGACGGGGATGGCAGTGAAAACAGAGGGTTCATTCTGCAGTGCTCCTCGAGGAAGTTCCACTTCCAAGTCCACTATGCGATCTAATGGGGAAAAATCAAGTAATGAAGCGATTCCACAAAAATGGGGGAAAATCATGCTGCTGGGAAGCAAAGTAGTTGAAAAGGCAGGGATAGAAACACGTGCAAACTACCACCAAGTGATTTTATCATAAAGACAGTATGGACTGACAGGTTTTTTTTAAAAGAAATGCTGAAAGGCTGAACAACAGAGCATATCCCATCATTTTCATACCTTCTACAGTCAATGGCAGTGCTACAGAAGCCTGTCCCTTCTCATTGGTTGCCTGGACTGTCACATGATATGTTCCCACCTTCAGAAACTGATGTGTGAACTTCATGACACCAGGAGTAGTGTCATTCCATTGCATGCTCTGCTGATGACCATCCCCAAATGTGCAGTTATAATGGGTGGTAGTTTTGCTGCCCTAATGACAGGTAAAAATGTGAAATATCATACAAGACATACTGAGTTACACCTGTAAAATGCGATCAAATTGATAACGGATACATATTTCAAGTTTGAGCATTGAGAGGAACATGACCATTTAGAGCACCTTGTTTTTCATATTTTTTTTAACGTGAAACTTTAATTGTCATTTACCATTCTTTTTCATATAACATTTTGTTTTATAAATTTTTATTTTGTCACTGTGCTACGAACACTTTACTTTTCAAATTGTTTAGTATATAAATAAATATATATTTAACAGTGTACTTACCTTTCCCTGTCTGAAGTAGAAGGTAACATTGGTTCCAGTGGTGGTGGCTCCAGTGGTTGCCGAGGACTCCAGTCTCATGTCCCCAGGGGGCAGCACAGGGCAGTCAGTCATGGTCGGCTTGTACTTCTTATCATCTTCTACACCTCCTTTACACTTGTCTGCAGCAACTTTACGATATCTGGGAAAGAATGAGATTGATGTTTACACTATACCCAGTTTACTATTTCAGTTTTAATATCATGTGTTTCAATTTCCGAAAAACATCTTTGGCAAAAACATTTTTTGGGAAAATAAATAAATATCAAAATTGAATTTCTTAGCAAAGATGGGTCACCTATCCAGTTAATTACTTTTACATCAAAAAATCCACCATCATGTGTGGAATATAATGACTTGACATTGTATCAAATTTCTCTATATTCCATTGTGTGTGTGTGTGTGTGTATACACACACACACACACACACACACACACACACACACACACACACACACACACACACACACAATGGAATATAGAGAAATTTATATATATATATATATATATACAATGGAATATAGAGAAATTTATATATATATATATATATTCACCCTGAAGACTTGCTATACTTGGTGCCCACTGGGCAGTCTTCCACTGGGCTCTGGTCATACCAGGCAGCTACCACACATTGACCAGCCTGGTTCTCATATCCATAATCACTGTAATACAACCACATTACATGGCTTATAATATGTTATATAGCCGCATTCAGAACAGTGGACTAACTAGTCCAAGGGTCAAATATGACGACCCACTAAAAAGCTTGCCATCTAATTCGCTAATATACACTGTATAGATTCCCCATGGGGTGAGTATTCAAGTGGGTCAGCCATATTTGAACCATGGACTGGTTAGTCCACAGTTCTGAATGCTGCCTATGAAAGAAAATGTCAGTAAAGAGGCACATGAAGCACATGACAAGTGAATAAATAATAAGTGATTGATTGATGAAAACCGTATTAATAGACAGCGGCATGGTACAGAGACGAGAATGTGTATTCACCAAGAAAACTTGTTAGGTACCAGCACTGCTTAATTCATGTTTGTGGCATTTATTCAACACCTGTTGCATTTTATTTCAATATTCTTATATTATAAGTTCTTACCATTCAAAGTCTTCTACTGTACACGTGCACACAGAACTGTTGATGGGGCGTTCATAGTCCTGGCCATTATAACAGTCTGCATTCTGCTTCCGCCGCTGATACACTGCACGCTCTCCAAGTGTGCATGCATGCTGGGAAATGTTAATGTCGTATCAAATAGTATTCAAATGTCAAGTGGCAGTCTCTTCCACAACAATATACTATTTAACCATACTATATACATGGATATACATCAACATTGACTTCTGCTGTTTAAGCCATTAAAGACATCTTAGGAACCTTTCCCAAACACTATGGCCCGGTTTCATCAAGGCTGGATAGCGCTATCCTATGGCTAAAAATGGCCGCTATCCTCTGAATAGAGCTATCCAGAGGATAGTGCGTTTCATCAACAGTGGATAGCGTTATCCAGGGGATAAATCAGCTTATCCAGAAGATAAAGTTGTCCGCTCGAAATAGGTGGGATAAATCTGCTATCATGCTGTTAAATCATCAAAAATGGCGAACCTGTTTGCTTTGGAAGTAAATCCTATGAGATTTCACAGGCGTAGAATGATTAGAAAGAGAATTTTAGAAGATGTATGTTTGCTTTTGATGATTTAAGTGATGCTGAATCAATAGATTTCATAACAGACGTTATCAAAGTTGACATCGCGCCTGCTACGAACAAAACCCATGCAATCTCCCTGAGAGACCAATTATCTTTATTTTACTAAAACATACCTTTTAAATCGACGAAAAATGTCTACACTGCTATTGACAGAATCTGCCAAATGTGCCAAGTCAGCCATTTTGTTAGAAAGTATGTCACGACCTTGCCCTTCAACTTCAAATCTGTGTAAACATTGCATGAGGCACAACTAATGCAATGTGATGTGTTATTGACACTGACACTAAAATATCCTGTAGATATTTTCCCCATTATTTTAATGAATGTACCATCTTGAAATATACTTACAATATTGTTTATTATGGGTTATTTATTTTCCAAATATGGTATAGACCACTTTTTGTTAGCAACTATCATGGCTTTTATAATGTTTATAGCAACCAACTGCATTATGGGAATGTCTTTTTCCAAATATGGTATTGGATAAATTTTTATCCATTGTATTACTATCATGCTCTTTATCCAGCCTTTATGAAACACAAATTTACACAGAGGATAACTATCCAGAGAATAAGAGATTTATACCATGGATAGTGTTATCAACAGGATAGCCTATCCAGCCTTGATGAAACCGGGCCTATCATGCTAACTGTGGATTGATCTATCTCCTTGGGGAATCTCGCTAAATTGCAATCAACTTAAGCAGCTTAGATGTCTGTCATGCCTACTGAAGCTGCTAATGGGTAATTAATTATCCTTTAGCAGCTAAAAAGGTCTACTCACTTCTCCCCCTGGGCTCCAGTGTTCATAATTCTTGTCTGTACACTTTCCAGAGAAGGCACCAGTTAAATTAAACTGGATCACAACCCAGCCATAGTCCCCTGTCTGATGGTGACCATAGGCACTGAAAACATTGAAGGGGTGATGATCTTTAGTTATTTTCATGGAGTTTTCATTATTAATCTACCAAGAAGTCTGCTAAAGAATGTACTGTCTACACCTACTGGGTACTAGGATTATATTAAACCTAAAAAAGAGATAATCATTATACCAGTATGCTGATACAAAACAACATAGTCATAAATCTAGTAAACACAGCATTAAAATAACACACATTCGGGCTTAAGACATCTTTATTCCTACAACATCCCAACTGTAGCTATGACAACAAGCTGAACACTGCTACCATGGCAACACACCAGGTCACTATCACCATAGCAACCTACCTGCTGACTAATGTGGTAATGCCAGGTTCATTGAGGAGACCATCTATCATCAGAGATACATTTAATGTAACTGGCTTCCATGTGCCCCCTACATCTGTGCTGTACCTAGATATTTCAAAAAGACATTGACCACAATATAACCAAATGAAACTTTACCATAGTTTAACATATGGATGTAGACAAAATTTACCTAGAGCTTAAAGCATTATTAAAGCCAAATGCAACATGAGGAAATATTTTATGTGCATGATCACTGGTTATAGTAATGTGAAGCGAAGAGATGTTCCAGGTCATACGTACATGTACAATGTAAATCAATTATAACAAAAGGCTGCTTGGTATACTACAAAAACTTGTGTTCTGGTTTAAAGAAGATTCTGATCATTGGATTAATGTCTGTAGATTATTCTGTTCTACTCACTGTATATGTCTGGTGTAAACTCCAGGTTGTACTGCCATCAGTGCCCCTCCCTGGTCCAATATGTTGAACTGATAGTTCCCACTGAGTAACTGAAACAACACAACAGTGTATACTGACTCTTTGCAAAAGAGAACAGATACCTAAAGTGTTCTTTTATTCTGTATAAGAGGACGCAGAATCACAGTGTACAACTTGACATGTGACATTTGAAAATATGTGTTGAATATGTGTACTAGTACACGTGGTCCCTTTAAGCATCCATGACCCTTCCTTGCATGAATCAATTGTGACAAATGCTACACAAACCAAGTTTGAATGCTCCAATTTACTTGAAGTTGTTTAAAAACTGAATATCCACTAACCTTAGTCCATGTGTGCCCCCCATCTCTACTGATGTAAGAGTTGGATTTGGACTGCATGTTCAGATAGCCATCTTCATTACCTGAAAACAAAGCACCAAAACTTACTATTTTACAATATAGTCAACAAAATGATTCAAATATTTAGGTCATAAACACATGCATTGACTTCTTGAATGGAGAAACCTTTCAGAGTGATCGTGGGCAAGGGGAGTGGCCAAAAGTTCTTGTAACAAGCTTTCACAATTTCTAATCACAAGCATCAGTGTAAATACATGTCATAACCATATGACAGTCAAGTTTCCAAGGACTGTAAAGTGTTTCTTTTTATCTCTGAATCACTGATTTTCTTCCCCATAACAAACTTGTGCACTTATCCAAAATAACATACACAAGTTTACCTTAAATATTGGTACCTACCCAAGCCAATAATAATTCCAGGTGCATTTTTCTTGCTAAAGATGCCTTGGGGAATAGAATATTTGAAAGAACTGTACATCATGTGCAGGTTCAAGGAACAGTCAGGCTGCAAAGTAAAACAGACAGGGGACTTTTAAAAAAGCAAAATACTAAAATGCAACAAGTTTTTTTGCTTTAAAAAAAAAAAAAGGGTGACAACAAATATGTCATCTCATACAATACAGAGGCACATTTGTGAAATAGCACCAGTTTTGAAAGTGTTTTACTGACTGTACAGTCATATAAGTAAACTTTTCCTTCTATCTTCCACAAAATTTCTGGGCATTAAATTTTTAATATTGTGTAATTATTGTTATTAAATAGAAAATGTACTCCTAGTATATAAACATTTTAAATAATTTGAAGAACAATAACAATGATAATAGATACAGCTAACATGTTAAAAGCAGAACTTTACCAGACGACACTTAGGGTCTGCTGCTGCCAGACGAGACCAATTCCCTCCTTTATCATATGTTACCATGGTAACTATACCATATGTTGTCCTGACATTGGACAAAAACACGCCTGGGGTGCTCTTAATCTGGAAACAAAAGTTAACAAACTTGATATTATCCATATGAAGCCTAGATAATCACATAAAAACAGACGTAAATTTATCTCTAAATCTTAGGAGTAAGTTGTGAGTGAAACTGCAATCTAATGAATTTCCAATTCTGATTTTTATGTAATCATTGTGGATATCACACAAATATCCCAGTGAACAATGTTGCAATGTAATGAATCTAAATGTTTCCATGATAAGGTAATCATTTTCAAATAAAAACCACTCACCTCAATCAAGTCACTGAAGGAAAAAGTACCAAAGTCCATGGTGACAACATTTTCCAGAGAGAGCACAAAGTACTGGCCCGTGATGTCAGAGAGATAGAGATTGAGAACATCTGTCCAGTGTCTTACTGCTACAAATACCTGATGTTCATCTGTGTCATATAGCTCAAATTCCTGTAATATAGATAAGATATTTATACATATAACACTGATGTTAAATCCTTTCTTTCTGTAAACATCTGGTCATTAATTTTGGAATATCACTCAAATTCTCAGAGGGAAAAGGTTTGTAACATTCTGAACAAAAACAAATCATAATCCTACAACTTTAACTATCTGTGCTTGGATAAGAATTACTTCAGTCATAGACTGACAGAAAAAAGTTGTTTATTTTGCTCACCACAGATTCCAGTCCTTGTGGAAAGTAGGCTTTCTTGAATGGCTGTCTTCTGTAGGAAACATACATCTCTGCTGAACGCTGTGTGTTTTTCTAAAATTGAACATCACCACAATCTAAATGAAGAGGATTTTAATCCAGACCAAAAATAACCTCCTACAGAAATGGATGTCTAAAATTGAACATCACCACAATCTAAATGAACAGGATTTGGTCCAGACTGAATATAACCTGCTACAGAAATGGATTTGGCTTACAAAATATTAAAAGAAGGTTAAATCCTGAACAGAGCTTCTGTCAAAACACTGGGCCTGTTCAGAGCCCAGTTGTGCTGCAAACTAAGACACGGATCAAATATGACATGACCCACTGAGATTTAATTGCTCTGCCACTGCAGGCATGGTGTATGTGGGAGGCAGGGAATCTATTGTCAGTGAGCACCATATTTGTTCTATGGATCAGTTAGTCCGTTGATCAACTTGGTACTGAATAGGCCCTAGCTTATATAACCCATATGACCTTACCTGTACAAAGATATATTCATTCTGTACCACCAGGGACTCCACTGCTATGGTCCCCAGTGCACTGCTCAGGTCAGTCAGTGGACTACAGTGGACATTGTCTGACTCTGTCCACTCTATGATGCAGGTTTTGTAATGCATTTGTCCTACAGACAGAAAATATAGACAGTAATTCTCTAGTATGACATATTTTAGAAAGAAAACAGTCTACATAGATGCCTTCCCAATTTCATTCAAAATCTATTTCTTTATTCATTCGATGCAATGTACTTTTAATGCTTAAATTGTAATTTTTTCACATACATACTACTTAATCTATACATAAAATACAAAGCAATATTCAAATTTTTAAAAAAATTTTAACAACATCTAATCCACAATCAGTGCACAAAAAGCCAATTACCTGTCACTGGGTCAGCAATCTCCATGTGCACTGTCAAGTTGTTTGTATCAACACCAGGAATAAACCTGGAATACACAAAAATTCTAAAAATAAAAATACATATAACCCCATAGCGCCTGATAGCATCTGACCTAGAAAGTGCCCTTGGTCCTGAGCTCTCTACACGGACGCACTCAATTTTACAGGCGGCCTCATATAATCAATGACAATGTATTCACTTGTCTAGAAAACACCTAAGAACTGTACATTTTTGGAAAGCCACTAATGTAAGCTTTAAAGTCATATCAGTTTTATACATATTTGTTAACATAGGTAGAAATAGCAGGAAATAAAATATGAGACTTGCTTTTTTCGAAGAGAAGTAAAAAACAAAACTTTAATTTCAGCATGCACATTCTTTTTCACTTTACCAAATAATTTGTTGAAATTTTCTCATAAACATTCGAAATATGTTTTAATCAATGTCAGAAAATTTTAGAAAGATATCTTATTTAAAATAAAGTTGAGTTAAAATAAATTTCCTGGGATGCGTGCTGTACCTAAAAACCTTCATCACGTCAGCTAGTTGCACAATATACGGGCGAGCTAGCTGACTGGAAGACTTCCACCTAATTACGTTTATAATTACAAATAGATTGTAAATTAAGTGCCATTTTCAATAGTTTTTCTACAGCTTTTTAATCAACTTAACCAGGATGCTCATAAAATTTTGTTTTGCACTCAAATAATATACAAGAATACAAACATTGTCATGAGCAAATATTACACTTTCGTGAATAAAAATTGCATCATAAAAATACAAGCAAACGTGGCATTTGTACTTATACACAAGCAGGAAAAGACATGTTGATACAGCGCACTAGTAAACATATTACATCTGTATTTATGCACAAACAGGAAAAGACATATGTAGATGCAGCACACAAGTAAACATATGTCATTTGTACTTATACATAAGCAGGAAAAGACATGTTGATGCAGTACAACGTAACATATGACATTTGTATTTATGCACAAGCAGGAAAAGACATGTTGATACAGCACACAAGGCAACATTTAGCCTGACTTGCCACGGAACGTTTACAGTCATTTTATCAGCGATATAGCCCTTCCAATTACTATTGTCGTCTGCTTGGTTACTGCCATTAGTATCATTAGCGTTTTTCATAAATCAAGCCCCACGTCCGAATCTGCTCTCTGACAACTCATACTAGCCAAAGGTACATAATCTCTGAAGTTATCGGAGTATCAAAATCTATCAAGGACGCTTCCCCGAAGTCTGAATTTTCTAACAAATCTAGAACATTTCTCAACCCATAATTTCTGCTGACTTCTCGTCGCCATTTTGACTTCTTAGCGCCTCGACAATGGTTGAAATAAATCGCTTTATCATTATCTAAATCTCGCTACACGTCTTTCAAAAGCCGGTGGTAAACAAAAAACTAACATTAAGTTATTCTTGTGATAGAAGCATGAATTGTTACAAACGACAGAGGACAGTACAAGCATGTAAACACAGAAACCGCGTATATGCGGTTCCCGGCACTGAGGACTTTTTAAAATGAACCGCATATGTGCGGTTCCCGGCGCTATGGGGTTAAGAACGTAAATATTTCATCACTGCAGATGCAGATTCAAATAGCATTGGAATTGATTAGAAATAATGGAAAATAACAATGATTTTCTGCTATCAATAAATAAAGACCAAAACAAAACTGAGTATGAAAATTGTAAGCCCCCCCCAAAAAAAAAATGAAAAAAAAAAAATAATAATAATAACTAGAGGATCAGAGAGGCGATACCGCCTCCGAATATTGTACCACCAGCTGGAGCAAGCGCATTCGTATAGACCCCCACATACACAAAATAAGNGTTAATTGCCTTATTAGAGAGAGAAACCCATCCAAAGCCCCTTTCTGCAAGAATAAAGTCACCATAGGGTTCTTCGTATTCTTTTAAACAAATCGACGTACCCTTTACGCACACTTCTAAGTCTGATCCCGTAAATCACCGGGTCCAAAATGGCGTTCAAAACAAAGATGGTCGTGACAATGTAGGAATACCAAGGACAGTCCGGCATTGCAGATTTAAGGCAAACTAAATTTACTATAACATATGGCAGCCAGAATATGATGAGTACCGCATATAAAAGGGTCGCAGTGACGGCAAACTTATAGTTGCTGTCAATTGTAGAGCGCCTAATATTGTGTTCACCGCCACTGTGATTCGGCTCAAGGCAGACTTTCTCCATTTCGTCTCGCAAATTTCTGCCATTCCTTGTATTTTCATGTCTTGATATCACGTGACTTGCCTTCATAATATTCTTTCTGGCGTTCCTTGCAATTTGGAAGTTTATTCCATAACATAATGAGACGATGATAATGCTCATACCAAGTAAAGCAGACGACAGCAGACTCTCCATATGGTCATATTGAACGCCAAAAGCGTACGTGATGCACACACAAGAGTAGGAAAGTTCTGTGCTGTCGGCCATAACTTTGAAAAGTACGCTAAATCCGAGAGAAAAGGATAGCAGCCATATCATTAAGAACAGCACCCACTGTTTTGTCCCCTTCAGCAAATTCATCGTGTGCAAAGGTTTTGAGAGTTTCAGTGTCGTAAAAGCCACCAGGGACAGTGTCGTAAAAGCTTCGGCAAATACACCACTTGTCAGCACGCACTTTACAAAGATCAGCGCACATATGGTTGAATTAGGAAGGGGGCTGTTACTTATATTCAAAGCATAATAAATCACAGTAGTCAGTAGAACAAGCGCATCTGAGACACAAAGATTTGCCATAATTTGATATAAGGCATCGCCGCTGTTTTTCATGTTTCTCATTACCACGAATGAGACGGCGTTTTCTATAATTCCTATAACGTAGAATAAAATCGGAATGTAAAAATATTTCGGGTGATAATGATCACCATCGTCTTCAACAACATCATCTGTAGAAATATTAAGCTGTGCTCTCACAATGAAGGTTGTTTTGAGGTCAGAGTCCAGGTACCAATCACTGGAGAGGTTTGTATATCCACTGGAAAAGTTTATGTTCCCTTGTTTTACCGCTACGCAAATCTCCATTTACCTCTTTGAATGGCGGCGTCTGTTTGATCTCTCGACGTGTCAGTCACCTTTACTTCACTGATACCGCCATATCGCTGCTCTGTAAATGTGACGAAAAAAAAAAAAAAACAAGATCAGGTACTGCGTTATATACCCAAGAGCCAAGATATTTACGTTTATATAGTGCAATATGTTAGTAAAATGCACGACCTGTACATTGTACGGTCACTGCTAACTTTGGCATAGATTTTGCCTGTCGTGACACCAAAGCAATACAGTGAAAGGGATAAATTATACATAATGTGAGAAGTACATTTAGATTTGTTTTAAACTTGAAGCGGCCATCTGGTTCATGTGTTGGCATATTAATGTGGCAGCCAGAATTTGCCAATCCAAGCAGATAAATTTATTCAAATAAAACCAGGTAAATTGAGATTAATTGGAAAAAGTATGGTAATGAAGATAAAAAAAGTAATGAATCATACGTAAAATTATTTTAATTCAACTGAAAATCTTGTAAACAATCTCATATATCAAATTTAAACATTGATGTCATTTAATTTTGTCAGTCTTTATTATAGCAAATATCACACAGAGCACCAGTATATGACGTTATCTACGTCGTGCGTAAAAGCGCAATATGGGTGCTTTTTTTGTGTACTACAGTTGGCATAGTAAGCCGATTTCGTCCAATACTTACATTTATATAAAATGCCTCACCAATTATCTACAAAGCTGGTGGGAAACACGGCATGCTAACAGGAAAATCTTGAGCAAGTACGCATCTTGAATCATCGAATCTTCTCGATCAGCACATGCGATTGGAAAACCAAATAATTTCTTATGTTCATCGATAATCATCGACATGCATATAACAGTACAAGTGTGAGGGACTTCGAACTGCACAAAATAAAATGGTACGAGTAATTACCAACTGGCTGACAATTTAATAAGTGTGACTGGCAGTGAGTAACAAATTATGACACTATAGCAATGCATATACAAACACCCATGCCAATATCATGATGACTACCCGCTTCATATGTATATATAATGAACCTTCCGCCAAATACAGTTCATTGTATATAGTAAATTTAATTACCACAAAGTCACAGCAAGTAGATAAAAGGTTAAAAGGACAGAGAGACCGATCATAAACGTGCAAATGAAAATTTGATAATATGTGTCATTTGAAAACCCGCACATGATCGACGCTTGACATCAAAACCCAACCTATAGCAAAGCATCGACTCATTAGTATGCTAGTGTTGGTATAACTGTGGCTGCTTTGCCCTGTTAATTGTGCCCTGCTGTGTGAGTGTTTTCTCCAATGACACTAAACCCACCCTTGATGAACAGAAAAATAATTACCATCAAACAGAAGTAGCCATGGTTATAGATAAATCAAATGGGGCCTGGTTAGGATGTAGAATATTGTTTAATTTTGCGCATTGACAAGATGAAAGATCATGAAAGTGTTTTTCAGTATATTCCTAATGGAAAGCGCTTACCGTGCGTGATATATTTATTCCACCGTATACCTGAGTGCATACACACTTTAAGCAACAGGCCGGAAATGCTTTAGAATATTGTCATTTAATGTGCTGAATATGGAAATCCCCCAAACCTCCTTTCACTTAAACCCGTGGATACAGCAAATAATTATTCTAACGGGAAAACTAATGAACCATTGAGTGCCACGTGGTTATTGCAATGAGAAAATACCACCGAGCTAAAACTGTCTGCACCCCAGTGTAAAGAAAATGAGGGTCCGAGTAACAGACCCCCCCCCCTCCATTAGATCCATAAAGGTTCGGGTAAGGCAAACGTAAAAGGACCAAAATCTAGGACGGGGCTTTCCTGTATAACTCAATGGGAACCGGGCACCGTGTCACTGGGAACTCTGCTGTAGATGACAATGATTTTTCGGAGATAATCTTTATCGCATAAAATCGATCGTAAATTACGGTATTTATAACCTTTCATCGCATCCTCGTATATAATCT